CCATAATCTGGGAGGTGAAGGCTGAAGACAAAGTGGGCTGTCTTTACCTTGATGTCTGGATAGCTGGATTGGAAAAGGATCAGACTCTTTCGACAATTCTTTAAGTGAAATGCAATTCGTATAATTCATCACGTCGTGCATATAAATCTATTATATACATGTCATATAATGGCATTACACCATTGTAGTTAGGAACCCAAGTGTCCCCTGTGAGCAAGCACTTTGTGGGGAAGAAAAAAACCTCAGACAAGACCAGGCTGAGAGAGGGCGGCCATCTGCAAACAGAAATATTCTCAAGAGCTTATAACATGGGGTAGTGAATAATCTGATAATGCCATGTTTTGTTCTTACGACATCATGATCAATATTAGGCCAGCACCAATCACGCTTTGTGATGTCATAGCTTAACAGCTTGAAATGAGGGGGTAGGATGCACATGGGCAAAACTTTTTTTAGGGCCTGCTGTCAAAAAAGACCAGTCAGTAGTGGGTTTTTTTATTATATATATATATAAATACAGGGTCAGTATAACAAAAAGGGTTTATTTTAATGTAAATGTCCTTAACCTAAAGATGAGCAAGTAGTTTTGGTGCCTTACCCTAACAAAGTTTTTATTCATGCTTAAACCTCAACTGTGTTTTTACTGAAAACATTAAGTCCAGTAAATCCAGGTTCACATGTAACACAAACCCCAGTCTGGTGGGTGAAAGTTCTGAATTTTATGCCTTCATCCACCACCACCTAATCTTTTATTGACTTGCTCTACACGCTTTCCACCACTCTAACCACACCAACACAGTGAGGTCAGACGCACGTTTCAGCAGAGGCATAAATGCACAGAGTGGACGACGGATCGGCTCTAACTGTAAGCTTTAACACAAAGACAAGTGTTAAGCCTAATCTTAAAACTCCCAAAGCCAAAACTGGAGCTTTTCCCACAGCAGAGGATTTACTGTACACATTTTTGGATTGACCAGGGAAAGCTGCATTTCCGGTTTGGCAGTTGTTAAAACTCGTGGATTCTTTGATCAAATGTGTTACATTTCACCAAATCTACAAGTTACTTTAATCAAATCTTCTCCTAAACGATTCCACATTAGGACAGACTCCAGATAACATTTTTTAGAACCAGATTACAGTTGCTTTTCCTTTTCATGCCCTCAGCTACTCCCCAGATGTGCTCTCCCAACAAACACTGCCTTCAGATCCGTCAGAGTGATCAGCAGGGGAATTTCATTAAAGCGAGACTTCATGGCGGAGACTGATAACAAGAGGTGGAAGGAGGGGAAGAAGAGAACAGCGTGAACTGTGTTTGACCAAAGTGAGTCCCTCGGTTGTTATCGCTGAGGAAGACGGGAGAGTAAAATGAAGGTAAGGAGGAAAGAAAAATTATTAAAAGAAAAGGATGGAGGGAAAACAGGTGCATCAGGAGTTGAAAGAGGAGGAAGAAGAAGTGAAGAATAAAGAAAAGGAGGATGTAAAGAAGGGGAGATGAGGAAATAAGGAAGGAGAGGATACACGATGGAAGCAGGGAGTAAGGGAGGAGCAGAAACAGGAGAAAAGAAGGGAAAGAGTAGGACAGAGATAAGTAAGAAGGGAGCAAATGTTGTGGATGTAGAGAAAACAGAGCAGGTGGAAAAGATAAGGGATGAGAGAGGAAGGGGAGACAGTGACGTAGGACGTGGAGAGTGCGGCTGGACTCCCCACTGAGGAGTGATATGATGGTAATCTCTCAGCTGGAACATCTGGTCTGGGCCTGAACAATGAGTCCCGCAGGCAGATTGCCGCGATCCAGCCGACTCTCTCAGTCCTCTGTAGATGGCCCGATAACCTACCTCAACCGGTCCGACTCTCGCCATCCTGATCAACAAAGACATACATTGTCTGTGGACACACAGGGTCACAGTTAATAAACCTACATCTATGCAGTCTGATGGGAACGGGAGGGGAAGCAGGTCAGATAGGGAGGCCCATGCGTTCAAGGTGATGAGTGAACCGCCCCAGGAAAATTCCTCAGAGATCCTCCTTGCATCAATGTGACATTCACTCTGAAGACGAGCCGTTAATCGAGCGTTATTTTACAGTCGTGTCACTCTAAGTGCCATCCCACAAATCAGTTTAATAGCCCGAGTGTGTTTATGCAGTACATAAACTGGAGATGCACAGTTGTTGATTTATACTTTTCTTCTTCAACATTTAAGATGCCTCAGAGATCATATCGGGAGCATAAAACTACTCGTGAAAAGACAGCAGAGGACAGAGCGACACACAGCACGATCAAAAAAAGTCCTTTTAGAGCTGAAGAAATTCCAGATGGTGCTCAAGTGGAGGACAACATCGTAGGAGACTATATGGCTCGTGCATGTCAGCAACTCTGATTAAAAGCCGTCCTCCGCCTGGGAGGAAATAAAACAAAAAAACCCAAAACAAAACAAAAAAACCTGCTGGCTTGGCCTTTCATTCTCATCTGTCACAAGGAATTGTTTATATACAGTTATTTTATTCTCCCCAAGCGTGTGTGTATGTGAGTACGAGAGAGATGAGATGAATGTAATTAAAGTTTTTTAATTAGACACTGTTCTTTTCTGGGAAGCCTGTGGCAGCGCTGGGTGGAGCCACAGTGGAGACAGGAGGTTTGTGGTCTGGCTGAGGGAACCACGCCGGCCTGGGTAATGGAAACCGGGTGTTCATTGTACACATATACACATACATGCCAACACACACTGTTGTACACATGCACTCGCGCCCACACACACACACACACACATAAACCAAAGCTGAAGAGAGAGTATGCACGCAGAGAAAGCCGCATAAACTTCTGCAGACATGAATCTGAACGCACAGCCCCCCACACTACTAATGTATGCCACATTCAAATACACATTCATGTGACGCGGCGCATTATGGAATTCATACTGCTGAAGCAAGAATTCCCTAAATAGTGTTGATGTGTGCTTCTGCACGCACGCACGCACGCACAGGCAAGCTCATGCATACGGAAGAACATATAAGCACTGACACACAAACGCATAATCCTAATACAGGCACGAATGGGTGCGCACGCATGCATGAATACACATTTACTCGTTGCCTGTCACTCACACAAGAATGTGTGTTTGCACACAGAGAGCTCATTATAGATGCATGTAGCGCACAAAAACACTCAATGCAAGCGGACACACACACACACGGATGCACGCTATCCACCAGCCCCTCCTCGCTCAGTCATCACACATGCATGCACACGTGTACGTGCGTGCACGCACATATAAATGCGCTACTTTAAAAAGCACACAAAAAGCTCTCATCACACCAATCCCTAGGCGTGCACACACACACGCCAATTCACATACACATTACATTTCAACCTTCTTCAAAGATACTGACGTGCAGGCAGTCACGACACAAAGACGCACACACCCAGCCTCATTGAGCCTAACAATGTGATACAAACCCATATCCTGCATCATTCACTGGCTTTAATGCACACTCCCACAACCCCCCACACACACACACACAGTACAGTCCAGCAGGGCCAGGAAATGCAGAAAACAGATCTCGGGCATCTACTGACATCAGTGAGGCAAGGCTCGCCTTTTCCATTAGACACTGACGTCAGTTTTCCCACAAAAACGGCTTCACCCCAAACTACAGGCGATCAAACCTGTTGACAGTTTAAAATAGATCAATGTGAGATACAGGCATCAAACGGGATCAGCGCTGATGATGTTCTCCCCTTCCTTAAACTGTGCGGTCAAACTGTCATAAATGAGAACTGAGCTTCTCCATCTGCCCGTCACTGCAAACAGAAAGGAGACTGTAAGGCCCCGATGCTGCAACTGGCCTCGCTCCAACCACTGGAGTCAGATGTATGTAAATATATGGAAAACACTGAGGTGTGAGAACGCATACATTTTCAACACACAGGAACCATATGTGCTCTTTTTTCCCCCTCCCCTCTTCTCCTCCCTACCCGTGAGCATCCATTAGAAACCGAGTAACTTTTATACTGATACCTATATCTTTCGCTCCGGACAGTCAAAGAGAGAGCAGGTCAAGCTGGGCAGCAACAGGTCAATCACTATGAACAGGGCACCATCTAGTGTTGCATGCAGAGTATGAGAGAGCTGCACTTATGTTTGGATTTTTTTTTTCCCCTTCAAGATTAAAGGACAGCCATGTTGGGTGCGCTCGCTGGCTTCATGCCGTGTGCAAATTGGCTTTTCGCTCACATGATGCTCGGGTCAGTGCGAGGTTCGTCGCATGTGTTAAAGTATAGAGATGCAAGAAAGCTGAAACAAGCTGGACAAACACACAAAGGGCTCAGTGGACTTGAGCGCTGGTTAAAGCGGGTGGGAGCAGGGAAACAGATGTGATTGTTTGCATAGGCCAGGCTTATAAACCAAACCCCGAGGTGCTGCTACATGTGCGGGAGAAAGGAAGTTTAAGCTTCAACTACCTGCAACATGTTGTGTTTCCCACCCCCACTCTCAGTGAGTCTGTTGTCGAATTTAGAGAAACATTTTTGAACAACTAAGTTATTGAAAAACACTTAAAAAGTACCAACCTAAAAAAATAAAAACAAAAAGCTTCAAGATCATTTTGGCTTAACAGGAGGGCAGGCACAAGTGGATTAACAATGGCTGCGGTCCAACTTTGAGGAGCTCCCGCCTCTTTGCTGGTTTGCCATCAAGGCTTACTGGGAAACTTAATGGATCGGAGCCACTTGTGCTTTCTCTGCTGTGACGAGTGGACACGCCTGCTGCTGTTTCAGGCAGCTCTTTGCTTCATGTAGCCATTTAGCAGACCAAACTCAATCATTGCATGTTGCTCAACTTTGAAGAAAAAGAAGATCAGATCTGTGTCCCGCGGCTGATCTGGGTGTGGCACCGTTACCTTCATGGTTTGATATGACAGGAAAAGTTACTCTGCATGACACATATCCCACGGAGCGTGCTCAGCTCGCTTCTACCTTCCAAAAAACCCCTTTGACAAAGCAATAAAACACAGCAAATGGTGTTTATTGTCAAAGTGTTGGAGTAGGACAATGTTATATGTGCATAATTCATTATTGTGTACTCTAATTGTGCAACAAACTAAGCTACAGTATATACAGACATCTATCATTAACTGTTGATAGCTGGATGACAGTTATACTGTATAACAGTAAATCTAGTTGGCCGGTTGCTTGGGCAGGACAACCTCAATAAAGGCGATCCATCAAGAGTCCCAAGACTTTGGTATCATCTGCGCTGAATGCAAAATGGTGACTCTTACTCTTACAGTGTAATATCAATCAATACAACTAAACACAGCCATTAAAAACATCCACGTGAATATACTCAATGCAACAAATGTTATGCAGAAATATCTCCCCGCCCTCCCCCTTTCTCTATTACACTCTCTCGTTTCATCTCCATAAAATCCAGTAAAGGTTAAACAAACATTTAAATGTTACATATCCCATTAAAGTAAAAGAGAATAATGTTATGAGAACCCTCAGTCTACATAGCAACAATGCTTTGTGAAAAATATATGTAGAGTGTGAACTAAACATTTACATGATTTTACAGGTGGAAAGGAAACATCGCTTTGACATAACTCTTTAGAATAATAATACAGCCCCACAGTCTTATTAACATGCTATGATCTCTTGTTACTCACTCCGATTGCTGTTCATGTGATGTCAGGCCACGCAGCCTGTCACAGGTTTGTGGTTGTGTCAGTCTGTATACATATTTATTTGTATGTAAGTGTGTCTGCGTGTCAGTATGTGTGTCTGTGTGTGAGTGTATGCACGTGTGCTTGCAGGCTCAACAGTCCCCAGAGTTATGCGAGTGTAGCCCGGTCTCCATTTTCCAGTCTCTCTGGTCGGTGGCGTCTCCCTGGCCTTGCTGGGAGGCGGCGGGAGACAGCGACATCTGTCTGCGGGGGTTGGCGCTGTGCATGGTGTTCCAGTGGCGCTTCAGATCCGACGCTTTGATGAAGGCTTTGTCGCAGGAGCCGCAGTTGAAGGGACGCTCGCCCCGGTGCTGCCGTTCATGGTCTTTCAGGTGGGACTTGTGCTTGAATGCCTTTTCGCACATTTGGCACGCGAAGGGCCTCTCGTTGCTGTGGACCCTTTCGTGCCTCTTCAGGTCGGGCCCCCTGATGAAGGCCTTGCCGCACACCACGCAGCGGTGTGGCTTGAAACCGGAGTGGATCTTCAGATGCTCTTTGAGGTGGGCGGCAGTGGTGAAGGCTTTGGGGCAGTGCTCACAGCCGTAGGGGCGGTTGGCGGTGAGCAGCCTCTCCTTTTTGGCGTTGTGGTCCATGGGCTTTGCTCCCGTGCTCTGGCAGGAGCCGTGGTCGCGGTGGCCATACAGCAGGTACTCCAGCTTCATGTCGCTGGAGGTCGATGAGCCCCAGGTGTGGCTGTGCGGCTCTTTGCCCATGTTGGTGTTATAGTTGTGCGGCTGAGACACGTGTGAGCCACCGGGCCCCATGCTATCCATCCCCTGATCATAGAAGCTGTTCTTCCTCACCTCCTCCATAGCCAGCTCCTTCAGGATGGCATCCTGAGCTCTCATCCCATGGTCACCCGGAGCCTGGTTTTCCCGCGTTTTCATGTTGGTCAGCTCGCGTTTCTGGGTGCACAAGTTATCCAGGAAGTTGATGCCCAGGATCTGACCAGACGACATCATCATATTGATGTCCTTCTTCCTCACAGCCAGCCTGGCTGTGTACATGTAATTAAGCACCTCCTCGAAGATATCCGAACGGATGAAGTCCAACTCCACGATGGAGTTGTCCTCGTCGCTCTGTTTCTTAAAGAGCTTTTTGAAATAGTTGCTGCAGGCGGCCAAGACACAGCGGTGAGCCCTGAACTCTATGTTTTCCACCACGACCACCACATCACAGTGCTCACCTTCCAACCTCTGCTGGTTGAGCATCTTCAGAAAGGTGGCTTTGTGGTCATAGTCGATATATCTTAGTAAATCAGACATGTTGCAGGACAAACTGGAGCAACCTGCAGAGGGGGGCAGGGGAAAAAAAACAAAAATCAACAAACTTGTCAAATATTTTGATTCCCACCAAAGAACGAGGGCATGCATGCACTCTGCACAGCTGAGGGGTGGAGCTCTATTTGCATGCCACTTTGGAAAATATATACAGGTAGCGTATGCAGCGCGCCTAACAAACAAAGTATCGGAGAAACTTGCAACCGAAGGTGAACCTGTTCATAAATAAGCGCCCGACAGACAAGAGAGCAAACAAGTGGCCAAACAACCGATGCAGAAACCCCGAAGAAAAAATACGGCAGGGCCCAGAGCCGCAGTAGCGCTAATAATAAGAAGCAAAAACAGAAAAGTAACGGCAGCAGAAACAAACACGCGCACTATTCTCCACTTAAAAAGCGCGTTTTACCGCCGAGTTCGCGTGACAGTCGCGTCGCGTGCCGGAAGAATAACCTTAGCAAGAATATTTCACATTTCACTGCGCCCAGCCATTTTGGTCAGCAAGCCTCCATTGGCATGTTTCTGGTGCCTTTAACTGAGTTCACAAACAGCAGAGGAGACGGCGGCGAACAGACCGACAAACCTCCAAAAACCCGCCGCGCGCTGTTCCGCGCCGCCCGAGCAGACAAAGAGGAAATAAAAAATGTTATTACCCGAAGCCTGAACGCGATTCCCTGTGTTGTCACGCAAGGCAGTCGACGACGATCCAGAGCTGTCGTTTTTCCTCTTCCTCCTCTTGTTGTGACTGTGCGGCTCCACAGGAAATGCTGCATTGTTCTGCTGCCACCTACAGCACCGGAGCGAAGCGCGCTACCGAGATCGTCTATACACGCGGTGGTGACTCACTCTGCCGGAAATCAGACGACGTGCTGAATATATTGGTGATTTTTAAATATAATACAAGCAAACACCCATCAGATAGTCCGTCTGTTCACGTCTTGAAGTTAAAATTAAGAACATTTGATTACAAAAAGTATTTATTTATTCATATTAACTGAACAAAATTGCCAAGAAATGCAGATACACAGTGACACTCAATGAGACACGTGACACCCCCTTAAGGGACAATTCCCACTAGGATTTAAATACCAGGGACTCTCCACCATTTGGTTTTAGAATTGAAGAAGTCTGTTGGATGAAAGGTGAAATGTCTTCAAGAAACATAAAGAAGTCCTCTCGCTTTCAGTCCAAGTCTTAGACATAACCTGGATGTCCGAAAACCTACCTACAGACACAAAGTATCATCTGGGCTTGAAGCTTTTCTTTTTGATAAGCTTTTAGCAGGGGGAGACCTACAGGGGGGCACGGGGAAGCAACAGCCCCCAGCTGCCCACCACAACTTTTATGTTCATCACCCCAGTACAGTCATTTAAGTTCTTTTTCTGTATTTATTTTGGGGAACTTTTGGGGGGAGGGGGGGGTCTCATTTATACAAAAAAAATTCTTTGTTTTCTCAAAAGAGATAATAATACAATAAATAGATTTAAAGTGTTTTTGTGGATATTTTGTTGACTCGGTTACATGTAGGGATTTTCACATACTTGCTGAAGTACGTAAAATTTTCTGTTTTTCAGTGGCTCAAGAGTTGGGTGTTCGTCTTGTAATCGGAAGGTTGCTGGTTCAAGCCCCAGCTCGGACAGTCTCGGTCGTTGTGTCTTTGGGCAAGACACTTCACCTACCGCCTACTGGTGATGGCCAGAGGGGCCAATGGTGCAATATGGCAGCTTCGCTTCTGTCAGTCTGCCCCAGGGCAGCTGTGGCTACAACTGTAGTTTGCCTTCACCAGTGTGTGAATGTGAGAGTGACTGAACAGTGGTATTGTAAAGCGCTTTGAGGGGTCCCAAAAAGCGCTATATAAATGCAATCCATTATTATTATTATTATTAATTAAGATAATGAAATTTAAGAGTAGCGTTCACAAGATTAGAAATGAATACGTGAGGCAGAGTGGTTTAGAGAGGACAGGCTGAGATGGTTTGGACAGGAGGGATGGTAGATATACTGGACAAATGATGCTGAAGATGGAGCAGCCACGGGCGTTTACTCCAATATTGTTCAGCAGGAGTGTTAGTTCATGGGCTACAGCCCAGTGTGGTCTCAAGTGGGCTAGAATGCTAAAACAATTACATAATGCACCATTGTGCCACATGTTTTCTACTGTCACTACATGTGTGACAATTCTTTAAAAAAAACAACAATAAACGAACAAAAAACAAAAACAAAAAAAACATTTCTATTGTAGATTTTTAAGTGTTTCAAAAGTTTCCTTCCACCTGGAAATACTTTCACTTTTTTATAAATTTCTAATCCTGTGTGTAATTAATATTCTTTGTAACCACTGTGGTGACATTCATGCGACTCTGAGGTGCACTTTAGTAACAAATGCACATTTACTCACACAATAAGAGACGGAGTGAGCGCTCTTACTCTCTATAAATCTTGGGAAATAACCGCACGTACGCAGAGGGGCGGGGCTTCCGCGTATTCACAGTAATTACCTCTGACTGCACAACGCCTGTCTTAATTAGCCCGCGGGCTCTCCTTTTAACAGGTCAATTAAGGGTTTGGAGCATTTGGTTTCATAAATAATAGATGGGCTGCAGCTTACAGCCTCAACCGCCTCCCATCATCATATTTAAACATTAATTTAACTTTAATTATGTCATTTTTAGATAATTTCACCCTGCTTAAGTTTGATTTTACCGCTTAAAGATCGATCCGTTTCTGCCGTGTGCTCAGCCTAATTGATTTTAGCATATTTCCATAAAGTGAAACTTTAAGATTTAACAATTTAATATCAAATTAAAATCAAAGTTACACATAATTTAAAATTAGCACAACTATTCAATCATATTTCCACTATTTTAACTATATTTGGAGATGACAAAAACTGATACTTAAAGAGGCATAAATGAGTGCTGACACAGGTTTCAGTACTGTGGTGGTTTTTATTATTTTAGAAGAGACCAGCAAATTAAAAAAAACAAAACAAAACAAATGCACTTGCCACTTTTGTTGCACCTTTTTGAGGAAAACACAGCTGTACATCAATAATACTCATTTTTTTGGATACATTAGAATGGATAAGAGGGGGGCAACACAGCTGATGTGTTCAGGGTGGGCGAAAGTGGAGGGGGATTATAGATCTCTCTTGGCTTTGAATGTAAATCAGGGGAGAGCTCGCCAGTCTGAACCCTTTGCCTCACAGTCACACAAACCTGGCACTTGTGCTGCAGCTGATCATCTACCCTGGAGAAAAAACAAACCCTCCACAGGCAAATAAAATCCATTTCATGCCCAGAAACCTTTGATTTCTTGACTTTTTTGCCAGGACATAGTCTCTAAAAACCTTGAAGTGGGGGAATCAATGAGAAATGATGAAACACTGATATAAAGGAAAATGCTATTCAAGTAGACATGACAAACAAAAAAAAAAAAAATCAACTTTGAAAGATAATTTGCTATTTTCCTAGGAAAGCTTTGATATGTACAGTACGTAGCTGTAGTGATTTCTGTAGTGACATACCTGCTGGATAACCACGGAGCTGTTTGAAGGAATGAGGCGATGCTTGCTTGTAAATAACGTTGGCACTTCTACTGCGAGGTTAAATAGTGTACGCTCTCTAACATATACAGCCTACAGCGATTTTAAGTTTCCGGAGTGATGGCTTTATTTCATAAATAAAACGTTGCTACAATAATTATTCTCAATAATCATAAAAATGCATCAAAGTCATATAAGGCAGTGAAAGCAAAAGGTTTCGCTTGCTGCACACAGGGATTTGGCGTGCAGACGGATTGAGGAACCACTTGGAGAATCACATGGTTTTCTGTATAATCTTGTTTGATAATGCAACGTTGCTTCCTTCTCATGCAAAATGCATTTAGTTGTTTTGCAGATGATGGCTGTGACTAGCGGCGGAGCTGCAGCACTTGGAGAGTAGGAGGCCTTTCTAGTCTTCTGAGAGTCCCGACGTTATATGTGGAGTTCTGGATGCTGGATTCTGGGAGGGTGCAGAGGTTTAAAAAAAAAAAAAAAAAAGCCCTCAGAGTTATTCCTGTAAGAGGAAAGGAAATACAAGTCAGTGAATCCTGTAAGCTGAACATTTACTGCCACTGTTCATTCTGCCAAAGAGTGAAAATGAGCCTCACTTCATCTTAAGGCAGTTAAGTTAAACAGACGCTCAGAGAGAAGTTAGAAAAATGCAAATATACAAGACAGATACACACAGGCTAGTCGGGCAACAGGAAATCCACAAAAGTACCATCCTGACAACGGATTCAACAACTCCTACACGTGTTTAGACCAGGGGTCTCAAACATGTGGCTCTTTTACCCAACCAGCAGCTGCTTGTAGCTTTTAGAAAGAAAACAAAACAAACCCCAACAACTTCACTTTAGACCCAATTTCCCTGAACTTTAATTACAGTAGCTAGCACAGTTGTATAGCATGGATGTATACACAAAAAAATGATTTATCATTAGTCCCCCCGACTAAGAATTATTATTTTATTTACTGTATTTAAAACTGCCTCCACTTAAACCCAGCTCCACTTTGTTGGTACTTGAAATAAGTAAACAATAACTAAATAACTTCAGTTATTATGGCTCTAAAATATCATAAATGCAACAAATGCTAATGCAATAAGAATGCAAAGTCCAAATACCAAATAATCATAAACATCTGCATAGCAGTCACAAGTGGTAAATATTTGAACTATTTACACCTATTGGTGATGTTTAATGTTATTTATACTCTATTAGGTTAGGAGACTTTAGAAAAGTTGAGGTATTTTTTTAGTGACAGCTGGTAAATAAGTTAAAAACAACAAGCGCATCACTAATAGCTCAAAAAGTAGGCCTTATAATATTGCCTTTTTAAGTTATTTTAAAAAGTTAGGCGCTATCATTACTTATATCTTCACTCGTTGATTTATTGGTTAAAGGGGAGGGAATATTTAGGAATCATTAAAATCACATAGTAACACTAACAAACTAGTTTATTTTCCCTTAAGAAGAACATGTTTGTTGTTTTTACCTATGGCGCTTCACAGTTTGACAGCTACTAATTTGTTGTTTTTTTTAACCACCATAAACCACCAAAAAAAGAAAAGAAAAAAAGAAATCATCATTGTCCTGATGAAGACGCCCGTCTGAGGCATCTCATAACAGTTTTTGTTGCGGGAAGTAACCATGCTTCCAACTGACATTTGTTTCCAGGTTGTGTTGACCGTCACAGGCGATTTGTGTCCATGTCACATTTCACTTTTTCAATTTGTCCTGAGGCTGGGCTGTATATTTTTTTGCTAACGGTCTGTCTGCATGCACGTGGCTTTATTCTATGCGTTTTGGCCTTTCATCCACACAGAAAATGGAGCTTTCCCCCCCAGAAACTCTGTTCTGTGTTTACATGTGGACAAGGAAAACCAGGATTTTGGCTTGCAATGTCAAACTTGTTCACCTTCATCTTCTTTTCCAGTGTCAGACTGTGTCACACTTTATCGCCCTTACTGGCCCCCCTATGGCTACGATTGGCCAACATTTGTATACAGCTAGGCCTTGAGTCACCACCTGTTGATATCAAATCCTTCACACCCACATTAAATGGCATATAAACAGGAAACTATCTCACGCAATTTAAAACAATATAAGTTAAATTTTGACTTCACTGTGGACGTGTTCCTAACATGAAAAACAAAAAAGGAAGAAAATGGTGATTTCCAATTTTTCTGGTTGCACCACCACTCTGTGTGTATCTAGCACCCAAGGGAAACAACAACTACCCAAAACACTACAAACATTTATTATCATGTTACCAGAGCTGTTCAAGCACACTCAGATAAGACAGCACACACGCAAACACAGGACTGAGGGCAAGGCTGCAGAAACAAAGTCGAGCATTCCCATCTGGTGAGTCACACAAGCACACACATGCACGCTCGCTCATCCCAAACGCAGCGCCTTGGGACCGTTTCAGTCAGAGGATAAAGGAACAAGTTTCACTGCCAAAAGGTGAACTAGAGTAAAACTTGACAGCGAGCACTTTCCAGAGACTATAAATGCTTGAGAGAAGGCAACTAGAATGACATGCTGTGCTGCAGTGAAATGCAAGGTTCTTTTATAACAGCTCCACACATGAGAAAATCCTCACAATACCCACAGTGGACAAGTTGAAACACAAATGGCTGTATTTGCAGTTTGTTGAAACGCCATAAGGACTGCTGACCTATTTTTCCCTTCGTGCAAAAACAGGGAAGTGCAACTGAAAGCAGAAGTGTGTCACAGTGTGCCCTAGAATCATCTCAGGGATGAACCCCAGGCTCTGGTGTTCATTTCCATGAAAAGCAGGCTGCTGTCTGCTGCAAAATTATTGCGGTTTTCGCCTTTGTGTCACAAACTTTTCATAGAGTTTTTAAAAGAACAATTAGTGAACAACTTTCAAATCAGATTAAATCTGATATTTTATGTCACATGCATATTCAGTAGTTTCAAAAAAGCCCTAAAAATGAATTTCTCCAAATGTAATTTTTTTTGTGACCAGTACAACTGGGTACACAAGGATTTCCTCAGCTAACATATATAATTTCAAATTTACAGAGCGTAGTTGAAAATAGACCAAAGCACATCTGTGTGCACTCAAGATCAGATTTCAGTCCATACGGGCGCGTCTGCAGTCGCAGGCTCGGAGCGGAAGCCGGTTCAGCCGGAATTTAATCGCTCATCCCTGCCTGTGCTCTTTGTGAGCTACCACAATGCAGGCAGAACAATATATGGAAGATCTTTTCACTCAATGTTTCACAACATGCAGGCATAATTTCAAACATTTTTCCACATGTGTGTCTAATAAACATTTAGAGAAGAATACACTTCTTATTTAGAAAACTGTAATATTAGCACAGCAATTTAAACTTACAAAATATCTTTAAAAAAAGGGAGTAAAGACATCTTTAAACACACAGTACATGGCTGTAGCTCTCAAATAAAAGTTCATTGTGTTTCTCTCCAGCAGAGGGAAGTGTTGTAGCCATATTGCACTAGATTGCATGAGACTGCCGGCAGCATTACTGTAAATGTTTTTAAGCCTTGTCATTACGAATTGAGACTGTAATATCCGGCCTGTGTGCACACATGCATCTTCAGTCCTTTTCCCTGCAGAGGGGAATGAAATGACAGCAGCATGATGCATTAGTTGTAAGTACCACAGAAACAGGGCTATCTGCACCAGTGAGAAGAAGTGCTGATGGAAAAGCAGCATGCCTAAGAGAAGAAACCAGCTTGAAAGAACAAACAAGAAAAACAAAGCCCAGTTCAACCAAATTAAAACCAGACTAAACAGGACAGCGCCGGGATCGGGACTTGGGGCCTTGCTGTCTTACCTGGTTCAGTCCTCCCCCTCCTCTGGCGTGATCTCTGTCTCTTTATGTACCACTACTTTGGTCACTGACATGTCAGGGTGCTGTTCTTTAGCCTCCTTTATGGCCTGAGCCAGAGCCTACATACGGGAGTGCAGTGCCAAAAGGGATCACCAGGGGGAGACAGAGAACGGAGAAAGGCAGGGAGGGAGCGGGGATGTTGGATTGTAAGTCAGTATGCCAACAGGGAAGTCATTTCTAGTCACATTTCTTATACGTCCAGAACTTGTTAAGCCATATGATGAGTTAATTTGTTTAAAATGTCACGTTAGCCCATTCCTGTCCTAAATATCCTGACGGTTACTAAGTCACCGCTCAGCACTTGACCTTTTTAATTTACCACACAATCAAATAATCAGCTTTGCAGAAAGAGAAAAATAATGAGTATGGGTAAGCAGAGAAACAGTATGAAAGGACTAAAAGACCTCGTCATGGTCGATGTCTGCGTCTCCGGTGATAACGATCCTTTTCTCGATTCTTGTCTCCGATATGCCTCCTTTCACCGTCTGACCAACAGAAAACACATAAAATCACTGCAATACTCCCGTCAGCTCGTCATAAGAAAGTCTTAATCTAGGTATCTGAACTTGTTTGGCCTTTTTTGTAGCTTAAGCAGCTGATGATAATACTAATGATGATGATGATAATAATAATAATACTACTACTAATAATAACAATACTAAAAGCACCGATAAAAACAAAACTGTAATAACTCATGAAAATAAAAACCAGGGGATGGATATATGCATCTGTTTTCATCCCCTTGGGCAGGCACACACTTGCGATCACTTGATGAGAACACTTTCCCGGCTTATTCAGCGATTCAGGTTTGAAACTTGCCAGAAAGAAGAGAGACGCTCAGATGTACAACAAGCGTGAAGAGTCTAAAGCATAGGTGTCAAACTCTGGCCAAATTTGGCCCGCAGCCTAATTACATTTGGCCCGCGAAGCCATACCAAATTACTATTAGAGCTGGCCTACTGGCGTTATACAGCTTGCTTATTTATTTACTTTGTTCCAGTTTTGAATTTTGGCCCACTGTGTATTTGAGTTTGACACCCCTGGTCTAAAGCAACAACAGATGTGCCCTGACCTTTGTGATGTGTGTGGTTGTCGTGGTGCTGGTGGTCTCTGAGGTTATCGTCTGAGCACTCAGCAACACTCCGGGGTCTGCATCACCGTTAGTCTCAACCTGTTGATACACAAAACACTCTACATGAGCACTGCACATAAAACCATCTAAACACAGCAGCAGTACTACCTTCTTTAAATTCCAATAAATACTGATTAGTGGAAACCTCAAAGCTCAAACTCATTCACGTTTAGTTCTTTTTCAATTACGTTTCAGCCTCAACTAACTCCTGAGAAAATTATCTGGATTGTGCTACATGCTGCTACATGTTGACTTTTCCCACCATATAGTAGATAACTGTGTGTGTCTGTTGCTGTGCAGGTAGTGTGTTTCAGCCAAGTCTGCAGCTGAAGACAAACAGTGAGACAAACTGCAGGTCAGACGATAACTCTTGGTGGTTTTAAGTGAGCCACACATTATGCACAATTATTTAATCAAGTGCTTCTCATTTTTCCCAGTAATGCAGCGGTCCCCAACCTTTTTTGCGCCACAGACCGGTTTATGCCCGACAATATTTTCACGGACCGGCCTTTAAGGTGTCGCGGATAAATACAACAAAATAAAACCAGTACCGGTACCGAAAAAAAGATGATTTATTCATAACACACGCGAAAAGACCCAGGAAAACAGAGTTAACGATAAAAACGATAACAAAATAACGCTGAAAACCGATAAAAACCCTGAAAAACCATACATTTCACACCTGAGCCTCAACTTTCGCGGCCCGGTACCAAACGGCTCACGGACCGGTACTGGTCCGAGGCCCGGGGACCGCTCCAGTAATGTACCAACACTGACATGTTTATTCAGCCCAGTGAGTCTGTTTGTCTTGTGTGAGAATCTTTGTCTCTCTTGGTGGCAGGAAAGCAACTAGTGACACACTTCACATTTAACAGTAACCCAGTAATCAGTAATATTTGTACTAAATAAATAATTAAATGTTGCCCCATGTAGCAATGTTACAGAATCCTTCCAAATATTCCTGGATCCAGATTGACTGCATCAGGTAATCACACCAAGTTGTGCTAAGCTCCACCTCTGGTGAAATTTTAATGCAAATCCCTTCAAAACTTTTCCAGTAATTTTGCTATAAACAAACAAACAAACAAACAAACTGAACCAATCACATAACATCCTTGGCAGAGGTAGACATACTTACCCCCCTGCAGTTTTTAAAAGCATGCCTAAGGGATGAGAGTACCCCATTTAACAAACGCTGACTTAATCCATCGCTAATCCATGAAAATTTATAGTTGAGCTTTAAAGCTGCAGTAACTCCAACCGCTGCAGTTCCCATCAGCTCTACAAAGCTTCAAAAATGTGTTTTTATCTCATTTCTTACTGCTCAGACTTTCCAGTAACTTCAGTGTTTTGGCTCACTCTCACTGGTCGTCTGCTGTCACAGCAGGCAGTTGCTTTACCTTTTTTCTTTTTGCGTTTCTGATAACTGTTCTCCATTAAATGCTGGCTGCTCACCAAGCAGATGATAGTCAGAAGCTAGCAGCTGAACACAATGCAGCTTTAAGCTTCAAAACAAACATTTCTCACAAGAGGTAGCGGGGAGCAAAATGGCGCTAAGTCGGGTTAATATTTGACCTCCCAGGCAAATGCAAACACTGCACTCAGTGAACGAGTGCTGCTCTGCAACATGATTGTCAGTTCACCTCAAATCCTGCTGTTGCTACTGCTAAATTTCTTATACCAACTCGTACACTATTCCTCCATCACTGCCATCCAATAACTACGACAGTCACACATTGTGGTCACATGTACCTCTGCAGCTTCATAGGTGATCGTTTTTGTCTCAGTGTGGATCACGGGCATGTCTTTGGTAGCCACTGCGGTAATGTCGGGACTCTGTTTGACAAATACACAAAACAGGGACAAATAAATGCCTGCAGGGGAAGACCAGCATTATGAAAAGCACCCTACCTGAGTCAGATGTTATGCCTGAAATCAAATGCTACAGGTGTTCACTGTTAACTGTGTGCTTCTGTTCTTAAAATAAGTAAATCTCATTGACTAAAATAAGCAGCGCATGCTAATAAGCTAAGCCAAGGATGGTCACCGAGTGCCTCAGATCTCTAAAAGAGCATGCAGTCATGTGTTAGTCCCTCATCCAGTGCAGGGGAGGACACTGGAGAACGGGAATCACAAGTTTTCTATCAAGTGTGTGCACCACATCAATTAAAAGGTCAGCTGATCTGCACAGCAACAAACTGCGGAGTTAGGAGCTTGAGAAATAAATCCATGCGTTTGGCAGAGCTAGATCGATTACTAGTGGCGGGCCGTGATGCGGGGGGAGATGGTGAGTCTGTAATAATGAGGCTGAGGCGTCTGAAGCTTATGCAATGTTACCTCCAACCGAGGCACAGCAGAAGGCGGATTGGAAGCTGGTGTGTGTGACCTAAGGAGTTCAGATAGAGTCCCTTTGTGTGGGCTTGTCTGGCCCCGCACCTCAGTTACTTTTTCCAGTGCTTTGCCCTCTACAATTTCTTCTGATGCCATCATATCTCCTCTCCCTTCTGACTCATTTTCTTCCATTTTTTGCAAATTCACTTCTTTATTGTCATACTTGTGAGGTACTCCCTTCTTTACAGCCAAGGGTTTAACCTCTGCTTCCTCCGTTTCATCTTCTGGGCTTTCCATCTTAACATGGTAATATTTCTCTTTTTCAAACGGCAAACGGTTTGACATCTCTGAAAGTTTCTTTGAGTCATCCTCTGTACACTCAGGGGCCACTGGAAAACATTCCACCACCTCTTCATCCACCTCCATACCATCTTCTGTCTTTACGGGGATTTCTTCTTTGAAAAATTGTACCTCATCAGAGAACTGAACCCTGTTCTTCACTTCTGTGTGCTTCTTCTCCCCTGCATGTTTAAAAGCTGCAAACTTCTTTTCTAAAGACTCCAAAAACCTCTTATTTTTTTCTTCATCGGGTTCCTCCTCTGTTAAAGGCAGCTCTCCTTGCTTTCCATAACCACTAATATAATCAGGAAGAGTAAATCTGAACCCATCATTGCCATTTTTTAACATCGGTGCCTCCACCTCTACATCTGTTAAGCTTAGCTCCCCAGCATTTTCATGGCTTGTGGCTCTGCTGTAGGGTGCGATTGCTCGGCCTGTACAGCCTCTGTGGTCTGGATATTTACCGATGGCCCTGCAGACTTGGCTGGGAGTGCCTCCGTCTCTATCACCGGTTTCTCCTCCTGACCAGCTGGTGCCTGTGAATGATAATTATATCATTAGATAATGTCAAAATTCAAACACACAGGGCAAATTCAAACCTGTAAAGGGAACAACTGTTAGTTATGAGCACGTGTACAACCAGTACAACAATTACATACAACCTGTGTTCCAATACTTATTTACTGTAAGGGCCAGAGAGCAGTAGTCACCTTTTGAGAGGAGGAAACACACTCCAACGTAGACTAATGGGACAGGAAGATGGATGGACACAAGAACAGAGAGAGAGGTGAAGAGGGAACAGTCAAAAGTCACAGTCTGGATTTAAAGAGCCAAAGGAGAGAGCATGGAAAAGGAAAAAGGGGACTGAAAAGTAAATAATGTAATGATTGTATGGAATACCATTATGTAACTTATTAAATGTGCTGACTTATGACAAATCCTAAATCCTTTAAACAAAAATCCGGTTTTAGAATCACTAAATCCACTAGGAGCAAATTTCCACTAATCTGCTTTTCAAAACTGCTCCATAAGAACAGTGAAATCTCTTCTCGGGTAGATCCATACAATTTCCCCCCCCCCCGACCTGTTTATGAGGCAGAGGGGATTTTGGAGGATGAAAGCTGCAGCAGTGGCACCGAGCCAGGGCTATGAAGTCACCGCTTTCAGGGAATTGATAACGGAACCGAAAGAAAGAAATGGTGTCGCTTAGCAGAGCTGTAGAAACAGACAGAGACCCAATTTCTTCCTTTATCAGCTGCGGGAGTTAGCTGCTACTGTAAGGCAAGCTGTTAGCTGTCAACAAAACTCAAAAACAAACCCAAAGCAGCTACACTGAAAAAGAAGCAGCGGGCCCGACTGCAAAAGAAACCAGCGGTTTGGCAAGAATGCGTGTAAACGCTAGGTGTTAAGGGACTGTTAGCCATGCACGGGGCTTGAGTTATTAGACCGGTTTGGTCGCTGCTGGAGTGAAGGCAGTAAATGGGGCTAGGCAGCGGGTGGTGGTGGTGGAGGTATGAGGGGAGGCAGCCAAAACTGAATAGTTACTTTTAGTTTTCATACAGTACCACAACTAAAGATGTAGTTGAAGATTCAGAAACTGTAATCTGAGTCAGGCTGGATTTTGACTGCTCAGACTGGACTTCTTTGAAAGTGAAGATTTCTGCTCTCTCCTGTAGTCCATCAGAAGTCTTCATATCTTTTACTTCCTTTGTTGACATACTGATGAACTCTGGAGTCTCCGTCTTCACCTCCTCAGAGATCCATGATGCCATAGCCTTCTTAGGCGAGTCAATGCCTTTAATCTGAGTCATGCTGTCTGTTTTTATCTCCACCTTCGGACTCAGCATCTTGGCGGCTGTAGTTTGAGCTTCTGTAACAACTGAAGTGTCTGCTCTGGGGATTTCTTCCTCTTTAGAAGCCATCCGCATTACATGCTCATCAGCTTTAAACTCTCCAGGGACAGCACTTTTCTCTTTGCCCTCAGTGTCTGATTTATCCTCGGCGTCCTTCAGGATAATTAGCGTCCCTTTCTTGTCGCTGATGGCTTGGGACACTTCTTGTCTCATAGCTCCGGGGCTGACCTTCACCACCAACCTCTCTGACACCTCGTCCTGGGACTCAGGGGTTTTCTCCTCCACCTCCCTCAGGGTCCCGTCCATAAAGACGTCGTCGTCCATAGTGGTTGACAGACTAATCCCATGAGGCCCAGAGGAGGTGGGCCCATCAGCTGTCATACTATCCACCACATATTTCACCAGATAACCTGCTGCCTGGGGAGACACTTGGCTTATTGGACATGGATCGTTCAAGTTAGTAGACAGAGGACATGACAAAGCCAATACACAGCAGAAATAAAGAACGCACAAGGAGAAAACACACACACACACACACACACCTTTTGCTAAACAAACTTAACATAACATTTTACATATTTCAGTACATTTAAAGACTGGGCAGTCCTAAACACTGGCCATAGGTTTAATTTGAGATTTCTTCTGTTGTTTTTCTGTGATTTGCTAACCAACTTTTGTGGATGTGGTCAAGTCAATTTAAATTCTTACAACAGTTTAATGGTTTGTTCAACTACAATCAAATCTGGAAAAAACATGCATTTGCACCACAACGGCGTCCTACTCTCAACAACCACAGGCAATTTGCAGCTCTTAGTAATCACACTTCAGTTCTAGTGTCCCTGCGCAGAGACAGAGGTACTGTCACTATAAGAACTAATGAGCCTTTAGCAGTTTCTAAACTTGAAAAGACAAAAAGGACGTTTTAAAAGCTTTCAAACAGCGGCCAAAGAAAGCTTAGAGTGTTGAAAAAAAAGCAGAAATTGACAGAAACACTGTTCTTTCAAAGAACCACAAGCTACAAGTAACTCCACATAGATAAAGGTAAAAACAAACAAACAAAAACAACAAGTCTCACACATGTTCAATATAAACTCAGTGGAAGCAGCTTACCTCAGTGATTTTAGGTTCCACCTCTTTTGTCTCATCTGCTGCTGGCTCATCTTCTTTAGTCTGCAGAGGGAACAAAACAAATAGACATTTAAAGAAAGTCACATATATTCAAGAAAAATACAAGAACGGGCAGAACCAGTGGAACCGCATGTTCCATTGTGGCAACTCTGGATCCTAAAGCTCCTTCACCTTCTTGCATTTTAGTCAGACACACTGGTTGTCAGTGACTCGTCTTCAGACTTTAATTAGTGCCGCTCATTTGTCCTGTGCAAGTCCATCAGATAATTTTACACATCACAAGTAAAGGAGAAACTCTGATAAAAATGCACATGTCACTGAGCACAACAATCACACCACTGATTAATGACTTCATCATCCATTACCGAGACAAATTAATATGATAATCAGTTACCGAAGACATGAGCTGATAAGAGGGAAAGAGAAACACACTCACTGAAATTAACTTTATTCAGCTCTGAATAACTTTACAGATAATTCTCCTCTGTCAAGGTGCCCATCGTCTCCTTTCATATGCACTAAAACCATTTGGGATGCAAAATGTGTGACCACACTTGCACCGTTTGAGAAAAAAAGAAAAAAATCTAGGCTCATTATGAATATTAAATTTACTGCTTTATGAGTCAATGTGCACTAAATCCTGAACTGACTACTTTTTTTTTAAAGCAAAAAAACCCCAAAGGAAATCTCCTTGATGATGTCATGCTCTACACACACATGCCATCATTCAGTCTGCTGTGGTGCTGCAGCTTACATCCAGCTCCAGCGGCTCTATCATTGGTGCCTCATCCGATCTAGGTGAGCGCATAGGGGACGAGGAGAGTCTCTTCTCCCACTCTGTCAGACCGGGCGTGGTGATGCTTCCGTCGGTCTCCAGGAAGGAACGCTTCAATTCGCTGATGTTGGTTTGGTGCTTGACGACCTCCGCCGGAGGCTCTGTGTCCTAAAGTGGCCGATCAACCGTGATACAATGATGAGGGCAGGAGCAGCGCGGAGGGAACGACGGCCATGCTTCATGTACGCAATGGTAGCTTGCATTTCCAAAGAATTACCAAAAATACGCGGACAGCATAAAATGCAGCTCGGAAAAGATCTGCGACGTAAACTTCCGCAGACCTAAATCAGTTGCATTATTTGCTTCCTCGGCTCTTCATACTTATTGTTCACAGGCCTGTTTAGGACTTTGTCCAGGCTACCTGTGCAGCAGCTAGCACAAAACGCAAAACAAAAGCAAAAAAAAGGTACACCCACATGGCAGCTGTTAAGAAAGTAGCAGCTTGTACTGAAATGCTAAAGAAGCATTTAAGACTAGCTTAATTTTCTGGGGCGGGGGGGGGACTGGTTTCATGCAGAGATTTACAGATTTAGTTTCATAGGTTTAGTTAAGAAGAACACTCCCAAATCTCATTCAAGGTTAATAATGACCTATTTCAACTTAGCCTGTTTTGTCATAAGAATGCATTTGGATGCTCACAGCAAGTCTAACTCCCCAAAATCTCAAATACTAGCAGCCACTCATCAGTTAGACACATCTGTTACCACTTCGATTACCAGTTAGGTTTCCTCTTACCAAAGTAACCTGCATGCACATTTCAGTCATGCATTTTTTTCTTACCAACCTCTAGCATCAGATTACTATGTCTGATAAAAACGTTTTCCCCTTTTACTCGTCTTATGAAACTATACTGCAAAGACAAGAAAGGGGGAGAGGAACTGTAAATAAGGGAATTAGATGCTTTATTAAAATCAAAATAGTTTTAGGAGAAACTGGGAGCCTCGGTTTGTACAGTATGACTGACAAATGAGGGTAAGCTTCAACGCACTGAAAAGTCACAGGTTATGAAGAACCTTGAAAACTGAAATCTGAGTCCTGGGTGTAGCAACAGCAGGAAATTAAACATAACCACGACTCCACAAAAAAGCAGCAGAAGTCTGCGCAGTGGATTTAAGCAAGAGTCTGATGTAAGGTATGATAGTGAGCATCAGCAGCAGCAGCAGCAGCAACAGGCAAGCGAAGGCAGATGGATTGAACAAAATGACTGATGGCTGATTTGTGAGCGGCTCAGTGCATCTGATGTCGGTGTGATGCACTGAGCAGGGCTGCGAAGCAAGCCCGGTGTACCTGCGTCCGCATCTCAGAGTCCTCATCTGCTTCAGACTGGCAGCAAGTAAGGAGGAAAGCATAGAGACAGTGAGACAAGACAGTAATGCGCTATTAAAGAAGAGACGCAGATGGAAAAAACAGGTGAAGGGAAAGAGAAAGCGAGCAACAAGGACAAGCAAGCAGAGGTAAGAGAGGGAAGGAACGGGTAAAGATAATGAACAGAAACTGACAGTTAGCTAATCCCCGGCTCTGAACAACTACAGTCCACGACAAAATATGTAACAAGGAACTGCAGCCATGTCCACCTTTGGATCTTTCCACAGGTTTAAAAGGACTGACAGCAAGTTTTTATCAGGCAGCTGATTTCATTTCAACTTTCCAAATCAAAAAGTGGAAGAAACTGAATAAACAGTGACTTTCTCTGCTCTATACTACACAGCTATTGAGCTTATTCTTAAATTAATGAACAAGTATTACCAACATCCACAAACCAAGTGGACGTTGACTTGTGTGATGAGTTTTTCTTTAAAAAGCTCTCTTTTCTGACTTTAAGTGTAACCACCAGTATTTAGCCATTAGCTTCTAGCAACAGCTATTTCTGATGCTGCCAGACTTCAGCAGCGATTAGATAGAAACATCCAAATTAGTTTGGGATGGTTATGTCTCCCCCTTTATGGCCAAAATGAGCGTATTACAGGAGCTTAAGCTAACAGAATCTGGCAATATTTTTCACTTCAGATGATGAAATCAGACAGACACAAGAAGCCTGTCTGAAATCCTCTTCGTTTAAAAAACGCTTTTGTTTTTAGGTATTACAAATTAAAGTCTATCATCAACAGACACTGCAACAGGTGCAGGGCTTAGCCAACAGTCAGTATTAATGGAGTCTGTAGAAAAGACTGATAAAGAGATAAAAGTGCAGATATTGTGACATGCATTTTAATACATAAAAAAGGGAAGGAACTAAAATGGCATAACAAGATCCAGAGCACGACATACACGACTTTTGCATTTTCGCAAAAAACGTTTCAGTGGTTACCAGACCTATAATTTACCGGCACTTCCTTGCTTTTCCTTTTTATTCTGTATTTCCTGCATGCCTTAATTATGATGGTTTTCTTTGTGTACAAACCTCTGTAGCGGTCATCTCTCCATCAAAGGCAAAATCAGTTTGTTCGCTGTCAGTCTGCATTCACAGACACACCCAAACGGGTCCAAGTCGAAAGCAAGAAAAACAAGAACAACCAAACTTGTGAACTTTTGACTATTTGCATTTATGCTCTACAGAAATTCTTCATAGCCACAATAATGGGGAAGATGGAAATGCATTGGCTGTTTGCACTGTCAGCTACAGATTATTAGACAATACTGCAGATACGTTCTGCAAAAGAACAACCACAAAACAAACAGTTAAAAAGCAAATGAAAAATAAGCAGAAGCAAAACAGACTCAGAGGAAGATGAAACCTTCGGTCAGTCACTTTGACATTTCAGGGTAACATTTGATATATATTTTTTAAATCAATAATACAAATTTGTGATTACGAGAGGCTACATCCTGGTTTATGTCAATCACTCCACGTGGATATGACATTTGCTGTGTAGTCACTGTACAAACACAAAACACTTGACAGTAAAAATTTGTTGCCGAACAGTAACCTGACTTTCAGGCCCTCCCCCTCCTCTCACGTCATGCATGCTGGGGTGATTAGGATGCATTTATCTGTCACCGTCTCTCTGCATCACAGCGTGTATTACACTACACTCATAATTGGTGACTGCAAAGAGTGCTGCTTGAGGGAAAGGTAGCACATCTTTGCACTCCACATGGCATGCCTCTTCACCGAAACACTCGGTGCCCTTTTCAGCTGATGTTCTGTTTGAGTGATTCATTTTAATTAGTGCTGCTCTTCTGGACGCAATGCAGAGAGACTGAGTGCAGATATATATGGATGTGTTCCCATGCAGCTGGTATGGATCACGGTTTAATCTATAAAAGCCCTGAATCTACATGATAACACTGAGATGGGTTAGCCACAAAAGCCGTGTTTTTCTTTGTGGGGTTTGGTGAAGGATTAGTGACTAAATGAAGACAGGTGACTTCTTCTGATACTCATAATCTGTAAACACAATGTGCTCATTCAGATAGTGAAATAGTCACATGATGAACTGTTTTTTTCTTCAGTGAGAGTTCATGGTAACGTGTCATTGAAGCAGCTCAGAAGCTCTTAATGTCCCTGACTATTTGTGTCTAACCCTCTCTTTAAACATACATCAAATATGAAATGGTGAGACTTGCAAGTTCATCTCCGTGTACTCGTGATGCTGATGAGGATGTAGTCTACAGGATGAATGTGACTGGGCAGAGATGAGGTTCTGAAAGTAGGAGACTGACAGACACTGGGACAGACAGTCTCCAGGTCGGCTCTGAACTGGTGAAACGGCAGAGGACACGTAAGGGGTTAACCGATATCATGGACTGTCATTCTAAGCCAGGGGCGGGTACTGGAACATACAGGCGTCCGCAAAACACACCTCCTCTTCCTCTGAACTGTCATGGTCATGGTAACTCTGGGCTAGGGAGGCGGTCAGGGAGGCTGCCTTGGGCTCCAGGTAGCAGAGGCACAGCGCCAGCGGGAAGGAGAGGGTGAGGGCATAGGGCACAGAGAAGGAAGTGGAAAGCAGGAAGAAGAAGATGAAAAGGAAGCAGGGGATGAGTGAAGGTGACTTAATGGGGAGGAAGTTCTGCGCACACTCAGGAAGGAAGCGCATCTCTGACAGGTCAGGGAATGTGATGTAGCCATCCTCATCTAGGATGGACGACAGATCGGGCAGGTGCAGGGAGAAGGAGAAGAGCGTGCCGCCCCGGCTCTTGCCCTGCTCCAGCCTCTGCTTGCGGGCTGACAAAAGCAGAGCTTGCTCCTCCAGCAGGGCAGCTTTATGGTCGGCGCGGGCTTGCCGGCGGCGGCACCCGGTACTGCTCTTGACTGGACTGACTGATGAAGCCCGCTTGCGGGTGTTCTCCCTGTGCCTGCGCCGTACTTTAGTTGATGAAATGGGGGATGAAGGGAGCGAGAGCTCAGAACGGAGGGGGTCAGATGTGAATGCATGAGGGGTGCACTGACGGAGGGAAATGACAATGAAGAGATGGCCGTGTGTGTGTAGGGGAAAGGAAGGGGGCGAATAAGCATGAGCACACACGAGTATAGTGTGAGGGTCAAAGGAAAAACAAGAAAAGAAAAGCTAATTAGTAAAGCGCACAGAAAATGAGAAAAAGCATTTAGGCCTTGTCTACTGCAGAGGGTTAAGCTGATAGCAAGTGGGAAATTCTCATCAGCCAAGAAGAAGTCTATTAAGAAAGAAAGCAAAATTAAAATCTCAGAAAGGGCTTAAAACATAATAACTGCAGCTTCTAAGAAACAATCTTAGTCTTTCACGTGTAGCACCTCTCTGAATCAAACAGAAAACATCCAATGTCTCTGAAGTCCTTGAAGTCTAAATGTGGACAGCAACTTACCTTTGTGTCTTGTCTGAGCGGTGATGTGGCAGCAGGTTCTGGTGTCTCTGCTGTGTCCTTCTTAGCGTCCCCCTCCTCAGCCTTCTCTTCCTCTGCTTTTTTCTCAGTTGTTACAGTGGTGATAATATCTCCCTTGGCAATGACTTTGGCTTCCCCGTCAACAGCATTGTCCTTCATCAGGGTCTCATGGTTCTCCATAATTGGAGCTGAAACACCAGAGGACAAAGATGGATGTGATGGCCAACTGCATGTCATTCACTGTGAAAAAGCTTTGATTTGCTCCTGGACATTGCTGCTATTATATCCTTTATGCATTTGTCACTGTGCTGCTAAACATGCACCAAAAATTTAACAGCTACGTTAACAGTCAGGTGAAAATATTTTTCTTCCACTTTCCCGAGGCATAGCAACTTTCTCTTGTACAGAAACACTTCCAAGAATCTCTGTGCTCAAAATAAGCTGAAAAACCAACACCTCACCTCCATCTAAGCTGCGGGACATGTTGTAGCGTTTGCTGGAGGTGCGTTCAAAGAACGGAGCAGGTCTGATGATCTGAGAACTGGCCCTGCGTGTCTGAGCCTGTGTTCTGCCGCTGTAGCGAAATTTGGAGCCGAGAGTCAGGAACTTCTTTGGGGGTGCCTCGGGGGATACGAGCCTGTCAGAAGTTACCAACACTCACATTATTCAAACCAAAAATAAAAACACAAATTTAAGCATAGTGCTCTGAAACGCTAACTGCTACTTTAGTGAACATTCCCCAGAGAGCCGTGGGGCTGAGCACGCTACTCAAAACCTTCTTTTTTTTTTTTTTGCTTAAATGAACAAACTTCGCATGTTTTCCAAATGGCAACAACTATTAAGACTCTGGACGATGCTTCTCTCACGACATGAATTCGTGTATAATGATTAGCAGTAAATCTGTGCCGACAAAGCTGTACGATCACATGTCTGATTCACAAATTCATTTGGGAAACAATGTATTATGCATGGTATTGAGTGGAGAATAAGCTTGAGCTGCCGAGGTGCACATATTATTTATAATTAAAACTTCTCAATGCTGTGTTCTCATCACAGGTCTGTTGCTTTTTCTTACCTGAAGAAGGTGTGGTGTTCCACGCAGACTTTCCAGAGCCTTTTGGCAGCACGATGATTTGGAAGCTTGAAACCAATCGTGCTTTCAAACTGCTCGAACTGCAAGTGAGACAAAATGCTGTGGTATGAGTCACCATGGAGATCCCTTTGACAATCACAATTCATTACTTTTCCCCCTAATCATATTAATGTGTTTTTATAAGGTATTTGTCTTTAATTAAAAGGATAACTGCTTTGCATTCTAGCTTGATAATTTAAGTGAACACAATTCATTATTAACATTTGAAAACAAAGAAGGAAATTCGCCCAACTTTCTTTTCCCCCAAAGCGTTGCTGAACTTAGCCAGTAATTGCTAGATGCCCAGAGGCAGCAGCAGTTATTGACTCTTCTCTACTTCATGAGATTTCTGCAAGAACTGATGTCAACTATTCTAGGAATGTTTGGTTTCATTCTTCTTTCATACATGAAACAGTAACTGAACTGCTGATTTATTGTCAAATTACTGCATGAAGTCACTTTCATTATTACGGTTAGCTTTTGAAAGTACTAAATATAGTAAAGTTAAGCTTGATGGCGTTTGAGTCAAGTTTCCTCAGAGTATCAGTGGTACAGATGGTGTGTGTGTGTGTGTAACACCGATAAACGCTCTCCCCGGTTGCTCTAGACACTGAAATTAATTCCCTTTGCAGTAAAAGTACATGCACTTTGAAAAATCCAGCAACTAAGCACTGTCACATTTAGAAAGAAGCTGATGTTAAAGTATCGTTGTCGAGGAGCTACAACCCTGCTTGCTTCTAAATGTAACTGTAGTTAGTTGTTTGCTATTTTTAAGCTGTAAATGCAAACTACTAAAAATAAATAAAATAAGGTGACACTGTGAAGCAGAAACCATTGCTTCATCTGTTTTTGTGCAAATCAAAGTGACTACAAGTGCACTGAAGAAGCAACAACAAGACAGCCCACATAAAGGGAATGGTGATGGCTACAGACTTTTGCTGTCTGATATGAGGAAATGGGGGCTATTAAGAGAGAGTTGGACTGAAGAGCTTCAACCCAGCTGCACAACAAGCATCTGCTGCTTTATGTGAGGAGAAACAGGATGAAGGGTGCACGAGCACATCTCCTGGTATTTTGTCCATACTCTTGAGACACAGCAAACATTCTTGCAACAGCACGTATGGATGCGCCATCCTGTAGGAGCTGCACTACCTGTGCAACCTGACAGGGCTGCAGGTACCAGCAGGTCATGCTATCAGCAGTGACAAGGGCACAAGTGAAAACCAAAAGTAATCAGGAGAGACGACGGGAGGCGCAATGGTTTGCTGCCACCACCCACAAAACAATTCTCTTTTTTGGTGCTTGTCTTGTTGTTGCCACTGTGCACCAAGGTAGAGGAAATGAATTCACACTGGTTAACATATCCTAACCAGACAGATTGACATCCCTGAAGTTTGACTGACTGTGTGCAATCTAGTGTCCCCTTTGAAAACCTTTGAAACAAACATGCTAAACAAGACAGCTTTAGTTTAAATGCAGATGCCTTACTTTGTTTAATACTTGCAAAAGCTAAGAGCAATAATTGGTAAAGCTGCATTCAATATTTAGAAGTGCAGCCATTCAAAAATAAATCAAAGTTAAAATCATCTGCCTCTAAATTACATATAGTGGTTCCATTATATTCTTAACCCTGGAGGTTGTTCAAAAACTCATCAGCTCTTAGAGATGTTTCATGAAGTCCAGAAGAAGTGCTACCCACTGCTGCCACAGGGTTTTTAGTAGCTACTGGCTGAATGCAGACGCCCAGCCAGGCAACTGAGAGCTAAGTTGTTGTTACTCAGTCTCTCTCTACTCCAGCTGAGAGGTCCATTGCTCTTCAGAATATTGCTTTAGTCTCCAAGCAAGAGGAAGTGCACACCAACATACCTCCATCCCACCATTCGACTTAGCAATCAAGTCAAATAAAGCGTATAATGGATGGCACGATCAGGCCCATGACTGCTTTTTTGCTGTCCTTGTGTTGTGGATTTTTAAAAGTGCTCTATAAATATGTATTTTTTTAGTTTAAGCATAGTGAACTCCCAGTGCTGTACTATCTTTTGCCACAGATCTCAATGACACATTTTACAATCACCCAATTCCCTGCCCTAATTTTATATTCATATTTCCAACATAAATCAGCTACAGACTACAATGCACACATAGCAGAGATGGGGTATTATGAATGTAGTGGCAACAACACGTGTTAGAATTTAAATTACTGGTCTTTATAGCTGATACACAATTTCAAAAAGGTTTCAAGTTTATGTTTGCTGCTGCAAGAAAGTCATTTCCAGTATGTTCATAACGTATCTTTACCTCGCCGGGCCGGATTTTGATGTAGAAGTTGTTCCTTTTGTAGGAGATTTTGAGGATTTTGGGCCAGGCGAATCTGTTGATCCGCAACCTGTCTCTGTAGATGAGTAGGCCACTTGCACAAACTCCCAGCATAATCTCCACACCCTCCGAGTCCTGGAAACAACACAAACATCAACACACGACAAAGCAAAATATGGAAATACGTTATGTTTGAAATATTGTTTACAAGATGTTATTTAACACAAAGTCCTTGACAAGCTTTACAAAGAAGTTCACTGACCACGGCACCGTTTTCTTTTTCTTTTTTTGTGGTCTCTAAAATATGAACTTCCATAGACTCTACAGGATATACGGGAGGCGTTTAGGTGACGGTGCACAGCAGGACAAAGTGGAGTTTAAGATAAGAGCCAGGTTTGTGATAATAACAGGGTTAAGCAGGCAGGTGGAGAGTAGATTCAGGCATATGGCACTCTAAACTCTTCTATGCAGGCTGTGTGGAGTTTGGATTAAGACTGAAGGGGTTCCAACTGGCAAAAGGAACAGTGAAGTTTCGGGAAATGGTGGATGAAGCACAAAAATGACGCTCTTCACTGCACAAAGCATGAGATGAGCAGGTAAAAATGAATGACGACGTTTTGAAAAGGCAGGCGCTGATCCAAAGCATGAACAACCAGCCTTAAGTGATTTGTGGGGTGCTTAAAATGACACCTTTGAAGGAAACCATGCACAAGTAGAGACCACATAGACACACACTCTCATTCGGGCAAAGCACATGGAAAGCAGCCTCTTACCTCTCCCTCAGCTGGAGCCAAGCATTCATAGAGATTCCCTACCAACTTTGCATTTAGTGAGAGAGGAGAAAAGACAAAAGAGGGATGCTGGTCTGATATGTACATCTTTTTCTTGTGTATCAAAACTGTGACTCACAGAAGCAACACTGAGCATTGATGTCTGCTCGGTTTGATCAAGGCCGCTTCCGCATCTCTGTCATCTCCTCTATTCTGATCTAAATCTGTGAAGGCAATTTCCTCCCCATCATGTGCATCTAGACCCTTTTTTGACTTTCAAAGCACATTTGATAACAGATTCATATCAAGAAGACTGATGGCTGTAATTTTCTTTTATGACAACAGCGGCCCCGCTGTCCTACACCAGCTCTCTGTTTTTACCGCCCGTTTTCTAGTGACATATTTGATCCAATCTGGACAGTAGAATAAAACAGATGGGAAATTATCCAAGTCAAGCTGGGCTCCAGACCCCCTCCCACCTATCGCCCCTCTTAAACCCATCCCATCCCCAGAGAGGCAACAGTGACACAATGTCAGTCAGTCAGGGGAGCAGCGGTGGCATGTTAAATCGAGGCATTACTGTGGCAGCCATGATGTGTCTGAAGCAGCAGTGTTGTGGTAGCAAGCGTCAATACCGACTGCATGGGTGATGTGTTTGTATAAGACCTCACACAGAAAACGCCAAATACAGTTTACGTCCACATTCTGAAAAACATGAATTGTTTTGAAACACCCACCACGTCTGACGAGGTGAAAGTCCTTCAGCTCCACCTCTTTGTTTATAGTAACAAATTAAATAACTAGTTTTTACATTTTGGTGTTTTTATCTTAGGCCTCTGTGATATCGTGGTAGCTAAGTCCATCTTTTACACAAAGACTATTCAAACCTCACATAAAGGTGAAGCCTCTCATTTGTGTAAATTAGCGATATATTCATGTACTGGTGGGAGAGAGACTTTTAGACTCTGTGCCAATGTTAACTTCATATTTAATGAGTAAATATGAGACTGAGTGATGGTTGTTTGCTTGCTTGCACATGTCGACTGTAAAGAGGGGAAAAAAGTTACTGTTTGGTTTGCATGTATAATGAAGCACGCTGTAAAAACTCACAGGTTAACCTTTAAAAAAAAACAACTAAATCGATTTCCACATTTGACTTCACATTAACCAGTTAGGTTGAATTCTATAGACTGATATATCATTGTGTTGTAAGAAATATTAATAAATAAATACTTAAGATTTGTTGCGATTTGCTACCTTAGCGTGGTGGAGGTCCACACCGTACATGGATAGCTTCTTGGCATTTTCCAAGAAGTGCATCTCGGCATCAGCCGGTGACATCCCCCTGAATGCACACAACAGAGCACGTCAGACATAAACACGTAAGGCAAAGAGATTTAAACCTCTCTTTTTTTCTTAAAAGCAGACTTAAACCTTTCTGACCAATGTGACGAGAGAGAGAGAGAGAAAATCTCTACATGGATTATTAGCAGGATTATAGCTTGAAAGATTTTGGAAAAAGGCTGTTTTCATGGATGTTTTTAGCTGAAGTTCTATTGAGAATTCTAAGTGTATCCATTTTTAGATTGTCTAAGACCCTAATCCTGGAAATGTCACTGCAGCCAATGGACCAGCATCAAATTACAGACAAATCATTGCAATAAAGGGGAATGAGGGGGCTCAAAAGAGAGACTTAGGTCAGATTGTGAATGTTCACTCAGATTCACAGATTGATTCAAGGCCTAATAATGACATAAAAACTAGATGTGCAATTCAACTTCAGATTTATGAAGAATTTGATCAGAGGACCTTATTACACACATGTCATCATTAAATGCAAACAGAGCATTTTATTAGTAGAAAAACAAAGATGGGTCCTTTTTAGTGCTGTCAACGTTAATTTCGTTAAACTGACGTTAACGCGCTAACTCACTAACGACATTAACATCATTTTAACGAGATTAACGCTGACAGCACTAGTCCTTTTATGTTCTATGTATCATATGCGATCCATTCAGTGAGACGAGAAAAGCAGTTTATATTTTCTAAAAACATTCTACGAACATGTCATGTGTCATTTCCACAGAAGAAATTTAAAGTGACATGTTTATGACCACCAATAATAAATTCACTGGACTATTTGACACCCTTCTGACTCTTTCTATTAATAAATAGCACTACAGATACTAACTTGTAAGTCTTGTGGAGCTCCATGACCTTCTCCTCTAGCTCTTTGGTCTGGTTGGGTGCGAAGCGCAGTTCACTGAGGTAGTCGCTGGCGAGTTCCTCTGAGTCATAGTCTCCAAGTTCGGACTGCGCTGTATACGAGCCCAGCACCGTGTGGGTGGCAAAGGAGCAGGGCAGGCGACCTGAAACTACATCATCCCTCAGCTGCAAGCACAGGTAGTACCTGAGAGAATGAGGACAAAATATACAATATATATGTAAACAAAACTGCAATTTCATGTTTTTTAAAAAAAAAAAACATATCTAATGTCTGGATTTTCTCATTTCTTTGAAAACTTCCTGAGATTTTTAAGTGCTAGAAGTACATTTTTATGCATCCAAGTCTATAAAAGGTTTATAGAAGAACATAAGCAAAGGACAGCAAAACCGACCTTGTGATGTCCTCAGTCAGTTGTGAGGGGTCTGGTGGGTAAAACTTTACATTGAAAGCAAAGTTCCAGGGTCCAGCTGAGGTATCGACAGAACATCAAATGATTAAAAATCAACATTCAACAACAGCAAAGGCTTCACTTGGAAATTCAGAGGATATAACAATCAGGTAGCTTCACTGGATTGCTGCACTCACTCCTGATCTGCTTCTTCAGCTCCTTGGAAGGATCCAGCCAATTCTGCGAGACAACCACAGAAGATGAAACATGAAATCATCTCTAATTTGGGAGCAAATTACCAAGAACTCAGAGGGGGAAATCCTGCCTGGTATGCATATGTAACAGTTATCTTATAAATGTCTTCTTGAAAGAAACATTTAACTTCATTTCCTACCGTCGATGAACCACTTTCCAAGTAAAAATATATAACATGTTAGTTAATAAGATTGCCTTAAAATAAAAAAGTACCTTTTGATTCTCTACATCTCTATATGTAATGCCAAAATAGTCCTTCTCTAGTAGGTTGAGGTGATCACACACTTTATCAAAGAGGAACTGGCCCTTGGCTCGTTTCTGTGAACAGAAAAAGAATAAAAGCACATGTTGAATGCAGAGTCATTTGATGGGTATACTGATGTGAAACATTTGAACATACAGAACACAGAAACTCATTTAAAATAAACAGTCACACCGAATTAGATTAGTAGGATTGTGTAATTTCTTTTAAGAGTTTTTCCAGTAATGCAAGCCCTTCATTTGTCCTGATTTGCTTAACAATTACACACAAAATAATGATAAACACAAACAATAAAGCAATATCATTAATCCATGTTGCAGCTTAAAAAGCTATTTTATGCTGCCGTGGGACTGCGTTCCCCTTCAAGTCCTTCTCTTCTTATTGTTATCTCGATAATTAAATGAAAGTGAGCTCATCTCTGCAAAACCCCATTATGAATATAAATTTGTGAAAATGAAGCAAATTATTATTATTATTCTGCTGCGTGATGTAAGCCTGGGTACCGGAGACACAATCCACCAACCTGGCAACTCTGGATCGATTCCCTCTATAAAAAGCATAAACACACTTTCAAATTCCTGACCATTGGTTGCGTGAATGCATTACATCGATCGACTGCACATCTGAGTGCTGGACGTCATCACCTGGAGCTTTGTCATCCCCCCCCTCGTGAAGAGGTTGGACTTCCAGGACTCATTTGACCAGCTCACAGAGGATATTTTAAGGCCCGAGTTGCCATGACACAGACGTCTTCTGCTTGCACAAAACCAATGCCAGCTCGTCACGTTTGGATCGGCTGAAGCCCACAGCCACAGCCTAACCTATCCAGAACACGGCTATTTATCTGCCACACTCACATGGATGCAATAATACATCCTGGATGTGAAACAAAGAACTAACGGGTGTGTGCATGAGCACACACACATCTTTAAATAAGAAGATTCTTGCATGTGTGTGCGCGTGTGATTTTAACAATGCTGGTAGAGGTGCTGGTGGCAGAGAGTTAATCCTACCAGAACATCTCCGAGGGAATTAGCACAGTTATGTCAGACTACTGCTGCCTGGGTGTGACAATCTCCTCTTAATGCAACACTTAAAGCTGGCTGGCTTAAATGACGCAGACAAAAAAAATAA